ATAATATACAAACAGAGGGTGCCTGGAAGGGACGTAACAGACTCCAATCAATGACGTTGTGATTTGGGCTTACGTGACGATTTATGAAGATGGGTGATTATAGCCTTTAAAAAACTGTATTACACAATCTAAGTATCTTCTAGCAAACCCATTCAAGCTCACTCCTGTTGTAAAATATAATATTTTGAACAAACAATCCAACTTCTTTAATCAATTTCAAAATACTTAAAAAAATGAGACGCCCTGTCAGGGTCAAGGCGGATCGCGTAGGATTCTAAAAATAATTAAATAGCTAATTAATATTATTGGGATAAAAAATAATCAATATGGCTGAAAACGAAGATCATAATTAATGAGACGTAATCGTGGTTGTGTGTACGTGATATCACGCACAGAAGTGTGTGGGAGGGTAGAGGCTGGAAAATATATTTTGATGTTTTGGTAATGTGTGGTTGTGTGGTTGTGCGTTGCATGTGGTTGTTTTGGGTGCGGTTACTGATCCCGACAAGATAAGGAGGGTAGTAGTGTGTGTTTGTGTGTAAAGTGTGGTTGTGTTGTGTGTGGTTGTGTGTTGTGTATGGTAGTATGTGGTGTGTGTTGTGTGTGGTTGTGTGTTTTGTGTGGTTGTGTGTGGTTATGTGTGTTGTGTGTTATGTGTGGTTGTGTGTTGTATGTGTTTGTGCATTGTGTGTGATTGTGTGTTGTGTGTGGTTGTGTATGTGGTTGTGTGTGGTTGTGTGTTATGTGTGGTGGTATGTTGTGTGTGCTTGTGTGTGCTTGTGTGTGGTTATGTGTTGTGTGTGGTTGTTTGTGGTTGTGTGTTTTGTGTGGTTGAGTGTGGTTGTGTGTGGTTGTGTGTGGTTGTGTGTGGTTGTGTGTGGTTGTGTGTTGTGTGCTGTTGTGTGTGGTTGTGTGTGGTTGTGTTTTGTGTGTGGTTGTGTGTGGTTGTGTGTGGTTGTGTGTGGTTGTGCGTTGAATGTGGTTGTAGACGTCAGATCCTATAAAGATAAAGATCGTACATGAAACAACACCATTATCCATCTAACAATCCTTTATTTGTTAACTTTGCACATGTTAAAATCAGCGACTAATCCTGCAGTTGTTGATGTCGCGAACTTTTCTGCATAGTTCACACAAAACTTGATATTTTAAACTATCGATTTTGTGCCATCGTTGACCTTAAAAGATTCCCCAAGATCTCGACATTCGACTAAATGATTGATCCGCTAAAGACGTGTTGAGGCCTTTGTGTAACATTCAATAACATCAAGTTTTAGTCTCTAGATGTGTTGGGGCCTTTGTGTAACATTCAATAACATCAAGTTTTAGTCTCAAGATGTGTTGGGGCCTTTGTGTAACATTCAATAACATCAAGTTTTAGTCTCAAGATGTGTTGGGGCCTTTGTGTAACATTCAATAACATCAAGTTTTAGTCTTTAGATGTGTTGGGTCCTTTGTGTAACATTCAATAACATCAAGCTTTAGTCTAAAGACGTGTTGAGGCCTTTGTGTAACATTTATTAACATAAAGTTTTAGTCTAAAGACGTGTTGAGGCCTTTGTTTTAAATTCAATAACATCAAGTTTTAGTCTCTAGATGTGTTGGGTCCTTTGTGTAACATTCAATAACATCAAGTTTTAGTCTAAAGACGTGTTGAGGCCTTTGTGTAACATTCAATAACATCAAGTTTTAGTCTAAAGACGTGTTGAGACCTTTGTGTAACATTCAATAACATCAAGTTTTAGTCTAAAGACGTGTTGAGGCCTTTGTGTAACATTCAATAACATCAAGTTTTAGTCTAAAGACGTGTTGAGGCCTTTGTGTAACATTCAATAACATCAAGTTTTAGTCTAAAGACGTGTTGAGGCCTTTGTGTAACATTCAATAACATCAAGTTTTAGTCTAAAGACGTGTTGAGGCCTTTGTGTAACATTCAATAACATCAAGTTTTAGTCTAAAGACGTGTTGAGGCCTTTGTGTAGCATTCAATAACATCAAGTTTTAGTCTAAAGACGTGTTGAGGCCTTTGTGTAACATTCAATAACATCAAGTTTTAGTCTAAAGACGTGTTGAGACCTTTGTGTAACATTCAATAACATCAAGTTTTAGTCTAAAGACGTGTTGAGGCCTTTGTGTAACATTCAATAACATCAAGTTTTAGTCTAAAGACGTGTTGAGGCCTTTGTGTAACATTCAATAACATCAAGTTTTAGTCTAAAGACGTGTTGAGGCCTTTGTGTAACATTCAATAACATCAAGTTTTAGTCTAAAGACGTGTTGAGGCCTTTGTGTAACATTCAATAACATCAAGTTTTAGTCTAAAGACGTGTTGAGGCCTTTGTGTAACATTCAATAACATCAAGTTTTAGTCTAAAGACGAGTTGAGGCCTTTGTGTAACATTCAATAACATCAAGTTTTAGTCTCTAGATGTGTTGGGGCCTTTGTGTAACATTCAATAACATCAAGTTTTAGTCCTGAGACTTTTGTCCAAAGACGCCGGTTTGTAAATTTTAAAACTAATGTGAAACACTAAGCAATTCCTTATTTAGAATAAATTAATAGAGCGTTGAATTGTTTTTATAGGAATGCATTCATCAATGTTTTTTTAGGCAAAGTAAAAAATACTTCAACACGACCAAAAAAAAGTTACTTTTAACAATTGTATAAAATACTAAAATAGTAACATTTACAAGAAAAAATATAAATTGTTCCCATGAGAGTCTACTGAAAATGTCTCCATTAAGATTACTTTTTGATAATTAATGACTGACTATATCATTTCAACACGCGGACTGAGTATAATGCCTTACCTGACGACTAATTGACTGACACACATGCATACACTGACATTTTACAAATGTAATCATAGGCAACTAATTTACTTGACGTGGTCTAATTTTTGAATTATCCAAAATAAAAGATTGTGTATTTCCATGCTACTAACATACTATTGATTTGTTAGTCACCATTATGTCTGTAAGAACTTTGTCATAAGGTAACAACATAAGGTAAAATTAATTACACATAATAAAAAAAAGTTGTAATTATTTTTTATTCAGGTGAAGGGAAAGTTGTATCAGGATATGAAATAGCAATGTAAACAGAAAGTGTTATTTCAACGCCTGCTTCCACCCCTCACCATGTTTTTATTTTCTTA